ATATAAAAAAAATTGGATCTTTAGGATGTCTAAACGCAAGAATTTAACAATTTTTAATTACTTTGAGAAAAAATCACGACCTGAAATTAGTGAGGTGACAGCATCTAGTACAAATGTAAGTTTTTCTGTTGTACAGAAATGTGATACTTCCGTTGAAGAAAACGTTTCTAGCATAACAAAATCTGATGAATGTGAAAGTGGCCCTCAAAGTGTTACTTTCCACCCATATGACATTGGACTTTTTTCAGAAAATATTACATTATGTTCTTAAACTTAAAAAATCAAATCAAAATTTAACTAAACAATGTTGTCTAAATAAAAAGTCAAAATTGTCCAGCTGTCTAAATTAGGGAAATCATAGTGCTTTATTACAGATTCGAATTTCTTTTAGTAGTTTCAGAAAATTACGAACACCCCCTTGAAAAAATTCTGCGTACGCCACTGATGAGATCAAATCGAAACTGGGGGAGAAACCGTAAGGAAGCTAGCGAAGACCATTATAAGAAACACGGATCAAATCAAGCATTCATACTGAAAGCTCATGCACTTTAATTTCCACCAAATGGCTTGAATAAGTCAGAGCTGATTCATGCGCTGAGCTGTGTTGGTTCGGATCGGAGAATAGGTGTCCTATAAGTTCGTTTTATTGCTAGTACAAATGGTGTATCGGATAATTTTTATTTATTATATTAATTTAATATTTTTTTTCTTTAATATTAATTTTAGATTAATTTTATTTATTAAAGAAATCTTAATTTAATAATTTTATTTATAAGTTTTAATATTAAATTTGGATGACAAAACATGTTCATCGCCCCCTACCGCCCAAAACATATCCAACGCCCCCCTACCGCCCAAAACAAGTTCACCGCCCCTCAGCATACTCCCAGCGCCCCCAGGGGGGCGGTATCGCCCCCGTTGAGAACCAATGCACTAAACAATAGTATGGAAAAAAATACAAAAAAAAGAAACATTTTTTTAAATAAATATAGGAAAAAACTGGTCAAGAAAAGGATCAAAATGTGACTTTTTTACAAAATTACATAACTTTGTAATACTCATAAAAATTCCCCTTTTTGAATAGACTAAGCATTATACATAATATTAATATTTAGAAACATAATTTTAGGTATTTAATTATATTGGATATGTAATTATATATTAGATATATAATTATATATTAGATATATAATTATATATTAGGTATATAATTTCAGTCTTAATATAATGTTAATATTTCGAAATATGTATAAATAGAATATTAGGTCGAAAATTACAAATAATTATTTTTATTTTAGCTGTAAAATATGAAATAATAGTTTAATTCACTAGTCCGTATTGTTTTTCCTAGACATAGCTATGGAAAGCATTCACGCAAAATTTCAAGTAATTTTTTAACTAAAATATTTTGAAGTACTGCATTTCGAATGAAGAAAAATAACCAAAAAAATAGTTCTATGAAAAAGGACAACAACAACAAAAAAGAAACAGTTATCAATTTAATTACTAATATAGATGTTTATTTTTTTTAATTATCATAACTTCTATTTTATTTGACGTAGAAACAAATTTAAACTGTTTTTGAAAAAGATAAGACCATGGTTTTATTTCATATGAAAAAAAAACAGAAAATTTGTTGAAATCTAAGTAAATTGAATTATATTTTACTCGTGTAAGCACTAAGTGCCCCCACTTCTCTGCTACATAGAGAGTTGTAGGAAGATGGCGATAATACATTTCACCCTATGATGATATACGTTTAGGTCATATGTTTCTTGTCTTAAGAGTTATTATCAAAAAATTCACTGTTGTTCCAGGGTAAATCCTGCATTCAGTTTCACATAGAGTAGTAGATATTTTAATTAATTATAAGCTGCTGTGAAAAAAAAATGGAGCGTTTTGCCTATGAAATTGATAAAAATAAAACAGTGTTACTATCACTATTTATATTATTTAAAAAAACTGTTTCATGAATATAATACCTCGTTAGCTTAACATTATTGAGAAAGAATCAAATATTAAAGGATTATATTCAGTAAATATTAAATTCTAAAACTGATATAGTAACAGAACTGCCAATTCTTTACGGAAAATTTCTATAATTGTAACTAAGTTTATGTTTTGTTTTAATTTATGATTCCTTGTTTTGTAATTTTGAATTTCGCCAACACTGATCGTGAATACAAAATTATTGAAATACTTTTTATATTCATAATTTTGCTACTACTTTTAAAACTTTCTAAGGAGTGTTCGAGCCCTGTAGTATAGTTTAAAATTTTATAAATTTAATCGTAAATATTTCTCAGTTTTTCACTCCAAACTAGCGTCTCCATACTTAAGTGCCAGCGCATATGATAAAAAGTTAAGTACTACTAATGTTAAACATTGATTTATTATTTAATTAACGTTTAAATTATTTCGATTATTTAAAATGAGTGAAACTTTAAAATTTGGCATGAAGTTAAGGTAATGGATGAGTATAATAGTTCGTTCACCAGAAGTTGGCACTTCACTCCACCTCCTCGGACGTAGAGTTCATTTCGGCTCGAGTGTAAGAGGAGAAACATCTCCGCGCCTGAAAATGAAATAACCATTAATGCGCGCCAGATGCAAACAGTGAATTCTTTTTCAGTCATTTACTACGCTTTATCATCTACTATTATGTCTTTCGTTACTCTAACTAATTAAATAAATTTTAAATTTAAAAACAGCTGTTTTCCCATCAAAATGGACCAACTATTCACTCAAAAGAGAGAAATGTCATCAAATTTATGAAATATTTAATGTTGAAAAAATGCGCATAAAGATGGCGAAATAAATATATTTGTCATACGATCGCCAAATAGCGACTTTGTTGGGGATTGTTCACATCCTTCTCCCAGAAATAGGGAAATAGTATCGTCGGATACCACGTGATGAACACCGGATACCACGTCGGACACCAAGTGCCAACTCCTGGTGACCGAACTATGCAACGAATAGAAATTCGGTTGTAATACAAATTTTCTTGTACAAATATTAAAACGTGAACCTTAGCGTACAATGTTACACTTTTTAAATAATACAAAATTTCAAAATCAGCCATTAACTATTGTAGCTTTTTCAACTCGCAGAATATTAATCTTTATATATTGTTTTAGATTACCTCATTTGTCGGAAAAGGAAGTAAGAAGAATATTGATCCGATATGCAGATTCAAAATGTGCTTACGACAAGACAGCGGCAAGGGAGATGAAGCTCACAGGAGTTGATTTTCAGCCAGGCTATAAAGTAAGCCACGACAACTTCATATAAATATCGTTACTGCAAAATTCATTTTTACAAAAAATACTTTTTCATCTTGATAAGCTTATTTCTGGCGCAACGTTTTATATTCATATAGTTGTGAAACTTTTCACATAACGGAAGTGAAACTGTGAATTAGATTCTTCTGGACACTATTTTGTGAACAACGGTTTGTTAACTTTATCGTAACATCCTTTCGTTTAAATGCAAATGTTTTATTTTATTTTATAACCGTTGTTGAACAGCCGACCCAATTTTTTTGAGTTTAGGACTACTAAAGTTCAACTTTGTAATTTTGTAATTTTGAACCCAATCTGGAATAGAAGGGAACTCCTGGATCGAGTATTGGGAGAAATTTGCCTTCGTGGAGGACAATATGATTGAACTAATCCGCATTTGCGTTGCATGGAAAGGAAGAGCACGAGAACCTCCCAAGGGTAGCCTGACGGTAAGGGCACTCTAACTCATGATCCGTCAACCACTGAGGATGTTTCACGTCAACACTGAGCTCCGTGCAAGCCGGATGCGGAATTCGTATCGATCAGCCATCGCTGGGATTCGAACCCGGTTCACCTCATTGGATGGCGAACGCTTTGATACCATTAGCACAGGTTTTACTTACTTGACTTCATCAAATATATTACCTTAACATCGGTCTAACAGTTCTTTGAAGACTACAGCCTGTTTCTGGACCATTAATAGGCCGATTCATCAAGTTGTCGATTCTGTGATTCGCCAGTTTAGAATTTTTAAATTCCTTGATTGGCTTCCCTTCTTCCTTTATCACTTGCTATAAATAAAGAATAATTCATGGCAATGATTACCATAACGATTCTTTATTCATGGAAAAAGTATTAAGAAGATATGAGTAAAGTATAAGAAGTATTAAGAAGATATGATCTAGCTATAAGATAGTTAGTTCACATCTTCTTTTACCTGACTAACATACGTTAACCAGTTAATGCCCGACTCCAAAGAAAATGGTCTATAAATGAAAAGAACCTAAAAAAGTGAATGTTTCGCTCTGTTAATTATCATTTTAACTTTTAAAAAGCACTATGCTTACTTTGATATATATTTATGTGGATATAAATATAAATCATTGATATATTGCGGTAGATAGAGCTAGCTTGTTTTTATAAAGTAAATACTAATTTTAAAACACGTGTGATACTTTTTTTTTTTTGTAAAAAAGAATCGTCTCAATAAAAGGACGCTTGACACAAATGGGTTAACTGCACTAGTTACTGAACATTAATCCGATTTTATATTTAAAAAAAGGCACATTATTGATTAAATGATCTATAAAAACAATATGTGATCCTCAGAAATAAGTACTTAAGGAATCCCTATTTTCTTAATTTTTATAATCAACTAAGCGAAACAGTGCAATAGACTTGGTATGAATTTCCTCTCTAGTTGTCACTAAGCATTTTAAATTTCTTTCAAATTTTATGCTAATAATTGATTTTTTCATTTCCTTTATATTATCAAGTTTATAAAAACATAGGTCCGAAAGAGCGATTTTCCTTAAATATATTATTTGATTTTTTAATCCTCGCTAAAAAATTATTCGAGTAATTTAGCATTTAGTCCATCTACTTCAATTTTTTTTCAGTTTTCTTGCAAATTACACTGATAAATTCACTCGTATCCATAATTCTTATTAATCTTATTATTTGTTACATTTTCAATGATTGCGTAATTAGATTTAGCAAAAAACCATTATAGAAGGACAATCATCAATAATAATGATAAAAAGAAAAACATGGTTAAAGAAAACCTTCACAGTAATCAAGGTTTGCCATTATTACAATTGTAATTGTATTTACAAAATTTTTTACGGAGTATGGGAATTACTACGCTATAATCTAGACTTATTCGTGAAATTATTCTACATTTTGTATGCGTATGCAGTAATGCGCAATGCTAATCCTAAGATCAATAGTTTTCTTCACATCCCGTTTGAACAGTTCGCTGACGAATACAGTAAAACCCCGTTATAGTGAATATGGTTTATAGTAAACTCCCGGATACCGTGCCTTACTATACACATATAATATCATTTTTTGTGGATATAATGAACGAAAAGAAGATAGGATATTGTGAACTTTTTTCTGTCTTCGACTGATTTTTTTTTCTTCATTTTTTTGGTAATTTTGAAATTTCTACATTAAATACATGTACCGATTTTTAAAATCATTTATTGAGTGGAATGTCGCCATAAGTATTTTTTTCTTGTATACTTCTTCAATCTCAGTTTCCAATCCCTAAATTTTTTAATAAAAAAAAAAGTTCACACATTTTTTTGTTACTACACATTGTTTTTTTTTAATCATTTTTGTATTTCTTATTAATGGTCATTTATTTAAATAATGTGTAATCAAAGGGAGCAGTTTGGAAAAATTAGTTAAAATTGTTTGCAATATAGATATAGTGAACTCCCGGTTATAGTGAACGAAATTTAAGTCCCTTGAAGGTTCACTATAGCGGGGTTTGACTGAATTTTAATTTTGATAGTGACACTTCAATATGGCGCATTGCATTCGGATTTACGGTAAAGGAAACACCCGGGACAAACAGACAAACTTTTATTTCTACAAAGACAGATAATAATCTCTCAGACACCCAAATACGATTTTTTTTTACTTTCCGTTTCTTTTTGTTCAACCCCAGAACGTTAGAGAAAAAAAAATCCACACTTTAAAGTTTGAAGCACAATTCGAAAACTAAATAGATTTTATCGCTTCCAAACGCCATCCATAAAGTTATGAATACTCCATTTCTCAAAATCTATCCGGCTGCTTCATATTTATCTCTGTCCTAAGCCCTTCTGGCAGACTTTTAAAATAAATATTTGTAAGCAAATCTGCCAGTTGACGGCGGCAACGGTGTTGCTTAAAATATGGGATTCCCACTGCATAAGTTATTCAAGGTCTATGAGGCAATATTTTCCCCCTCTCACCAAATGATATATTTTTGTAAGTCTGCTATGTTTATTTTTTCTTTTCAGTATACGTTGGAGACATTCACGGAAACACGCCAAGTGGCCTGGACCTTTGAACCATACACTGGTAAGTGAGAAAATTTTTGAAAGGAATAATAAACCATCAAAATATCTTTTTCTTTTCTTTTTTTTTGATCAAGTAACACCTTGTTATAATCCTAAAACCAGCCAAGCCTATTAATTTTCTTTCAAAAAAATTAATAAATAAATATTTAAAAAAATTAAAATGGAATAAAATAAAAAAATTATTAAAAAAAAATGACGTGCTCAAATAATGAAACATTGCTTAAACGGTAAATATGTTATGATGAATACAAATTCCTTGTTTCACATAGATAAATTTCAACAAACGAATTATTGAGTAACTAGTCTCTATCTTTTTAAAAAAAGGTCGTCGGATTTTGGAGCTTGATGGATTAAACAAAAGCCGTAACACCCCCAGGCACCCAGCTGAATGCTCGGGATCAGGGATAAACATGGTACAGGTGCATGGTAAACAGGGCCGGCAGAATAAAAAAGGAGTGCTTTCCCAATCTCGCATACTCCAAGAGCACTAAGAGCATGTGTACGCACTAATACGAGATGCAATTCGAGAGCACCTTATTGAGATCAAATCGGGGGGGGGGGGGATCTGGACCTGATACNGAGCGGAGCTCGGTCACCCGCTGGTATATATATATATTACATCATAAACTGAAATGTATCAGGTCCAGATCGCCCCGATTTGATCTCTATAAGGCATCTCCACACTCGAGTTGGGTAAGATCATGTACTTGTATAAATGTAACGAAAAAAAAATGTTCCCCCGCGCGTTATAGTTTGATTAAAATTCAAATTAGAAATTGAGCGAAACTAGAAATTAAAATTTCAAGAGAATTACATTTCTAACTAATAATAATGTCATTTGTAAACAACAAATACAATTAACAGCCACGTTATCACAGCAATTGGATAATATGCAACCCAACTAGTTTAGCTTTTGAATTTGGATAGTTTTACAGTGATATTAAAACATCGCTCTACTTTAAATTTTTCTCTCCAAACTTTCGTAAAGGATTAGTTCTGATAAATTTTCATAAAGTTCTATGTCTATTTATTACGAAAAAGTCTCTAAGACTTGTAGTTCTGAATCTTCTTGCTAACTTTACGTCTTTAGAACCAAATATGTTCTATACATAGAACATCTATTTCAGGAATATCGCTGGACGAGCCTAATGAGACGGTGGAGCCTCCAGACCCATGGGGTATAGAGTGTATTCAGCCTAAACCTTTCCACGGCACCTCTATCGTCTTGGATGTCCCTCATACGGATGTCTTATTGACATGCCACGCGTGTGGTGGCGTGGGGAGCAAACGATGCACCGCATGCTCAGCAGCTGGTTGGGTAAAATAATAAATTTTTAACCTATATTAACTTATATGCAGGATCGACCTAAATTAAAGTTTCGTACAAGTTTATGACAAACAAAGACGGGTGATACATGGACACTTATCAAATTTCTGATACATACTGCATGTCTTCATTGTGTTCACCCATGGTCAATAATATGTTTCTATCAATATTTAGTGCGGCTTTGAGGAGAACTCCCCCAGACAAAAAGTCTGGGGCTTTCTGCTGCTATGGTAACAAGTAAGAGCACATTTATAATGGGGGTGAAATGGAGAAATGAAAGCGTCGATTGGTTTATTCACGCTGACATATGCCAAGATCAAGACAAAATTATTCACCCCCACAGCCCTATTCGATGTTAATTTCCCTCTTAACCATGGCACCCGCCACGACGCGAGACTGATGTCTGGAGGAGTTCTCCTGAAAGCAGCACTATACGTCCCAAGGTCAGTGATGGGTTCCTGTCGGTTTGTTGGCATAAGGGTGCATAAACTCGTGAAGCACTCTTTATGACTCGAATGACTTGTGAAGCACTTTTATACGCTCTTAATGGCAACAAAACTGTAGGAATGCATCACTGTTGCTGCGGCGAGCTTTGCACAGAAACATGCGCGAATAGAACTTGTTTATCGGTGGTACCTGTACCAGGTGGCCAAAGGATCACACATTGAAAATTTGTAGAATGTACCAGAAACTTGGTGAGTGCATCTATCTTTCCATGTATCACCTGACTTAGTAACTTCTAAGCAACGGTAAACAAACAATCCTTTGAAACAGCATGTATCATTAGGCTGACCCTGCATATTAAACCTTACATTATTTTGAACTTATAATTAAAAAATGAAAAATTTGGGTTCAGCCTCGTGAAACATTAGTCACCTTTTTTATAATTTTATGTAGACCGTAGCAACTCTGAAAAAGCACTTTTCTTTGGCTTGAGATTCAAAAGTAAATAACCATAATATCTAGACACCTACTTTCAGCAAAATAATTCCTAATATTGAAACGCTATTTTCTCTCTTTTATGAAAAGCAGCCCTTCTTTTAAAATGACAAACGCCAATATGTTAATGTGTTCATCTTCTTCAATAGGAGAGGTGTTCGCTGTGCCTAGGAGACGGAATAAAATTGTCTATGCAAGGACAAAGAGAAAGATGCTTCCGCTGTATAGGGACAGGTAGGAAAAAGTAAGTTGAATTGCTATTACATAAAAATAAAAAAATGCCTGCAAAAATAAACTAAATGAATTATATAAGCCAACGAATTGTTTAGAAATAGTGGTGGATAAAAATCTACTAAATTGAATTTATTAAACCAAGAATCACAACTAATAAACTACCACTTGAAAATATTTACTCGCTGTTCGCAGCAAGTTGGAATTTCTATGTATATAAATAAAGCTATTTTTGAGTGTTCTATATTGCATTAATTTCTTCAAACCATTTTAGTAACGACAATAATGTAAAAAAATTTAAAAATTTACTCGAATTATCTGTTTCTAATAATCTTGGCTTTGCCGGTCACCGGTGACCCCCGTGGCACTACGAATAAACTCAGTGCCGGTCACCGATGACCCCCATGGCATTCAACGTGTTAATGTCGATTAAATTGCCACAAAATAAAACTAAAATGTCTTATGATTCCAGTTCTAATTGAACTTTAATATCTGTGAGCTTGCAGGGCTGCCAACAACTACGCTTCTTGCAAAGTATTTTATTGAGTGTTAGGCAATTCCAAACTAAATCTTTAAAATCTTTGGGATAGTATTTTCCCCCTCACACCCGAAATGGTTAATACACGTATGAGCCTCATCACAGCAATTTTTCTTTTCTTATAATAATTATAGAATCCTGCGATGATACGTATGTCTAAAAATGTGGTTATAAAAAACTATAAACTTATAAAAAATCAAAATTCTCCTTAAAGTGATTAAAATTCGAAACACGTTCTAGCATTTTAGTTTAAGTTTGTTATTCGAATCAAAAGCAATAAAAAAAATTTTTTTTTGCTCCATATCATTGATAATGTAATACATGATGGTAGTTATGGATGCATAATTAAACAGAAAAATAAATAAAAAGAAATTTAGCTTGTACCAACTTCTAGATTTTTAGGAGTGAGTATCATGATTGAGAATCCTTTCATAAATATAGCTGTCAATTACTAAACATAGCAGCTATTCTATAATATTCCATGTGCAACAGTTTCAGTTGATTGATTTTTTCTTAAACTAGTACTACAGTACAGAAAAGAGTACTTAGGCAACAAAAAAAAAAGTTAAGTAGAGAGGTTGGTTGCAAAAAACATATAGCCTCATTTTTAAGTGTTATTTAACCTATCAGTACCCTACTTCCTTTTTAAGGATTGCTCGTTCTTTTTTTCTTTTTTTTTTAAATCCTTTTTATAAATCTCTTATTTTGAATCTTAAAGAAAAATTGACATTTAGAAATAACAGTATAAGGTACAGAATATTCAATATTAAACCAGCAGTTTTCAAAATTTTATTACTGGAAAAAGCAATTCTCGCAATAAATTTATGTGACAGAGCATACATTTTTTCCCCAGAGTGCTGAAATTTAGCTCAATATATTTCCAACAGATAGCGCTGCAAATTTAAACATAAATGATTGCAAATTTAAATATAAATAATTGGAAAATCACATCACAATTTTCCGACACCTTTTCACGAATGAAAATCAAATTGTAATATTTTCGAAATATCCACCATCAGCCATAATCGGAGATTTTTTAAAAAGAAAGCTTGCTTTATACCTTGTCACATAAGCTTATTGCCAGAATTGTTCTTTATGTTTTTTAACCTTAAGCGTTTTCCTGTTATCAATTTTTAAAAACCACCAGTCTATAGTTTAAGCCATCATACCTTTTATCAACTTATTTAAAGTAAAAATTATTTTATTGATTCTACAGGACATGTTAGAAATAATCCAACTCTTAAAAATATTATTTATTTTAATAAAAATCACATCTATACTAAAACTAATTACATTTATACTTAATTTCGATTTTTAAATTTATTAGAAATTAAATTTATGCTTCATTGCAAGTATTTGTTTAAAAAATTATTGTGTTTGATAAAATTTCAGGCTCAATTAAAATGTCAATTACATTAAAGTAAAATATATTGGTCGTTTATTAGATATTATTTTAATGTAAGTCGCATTCACTTTTAAAATGCTGACAACCGTAAGCTGAAAACGCTGACAACCTGTATTATTACAATAATTATTCTTACAGTAATTATTCTTACAGTAATTATTATTACAGTTCTGTAAGTCCTTTAATGCTAAAGCTAGTTGTTAGTAGTTGTTGTTGGCATATGCCTTTTAAGGCAGAGGGATGCGATTGTTCTTGTTTTCCCGCGGCGCCATCTATGGTCAAGAATTCGACAGTTGATAGTAGATATCTCTTTATACTTTGTCAAAACTTTATTTTTAGGTGTTGGAAATGCGGAGGCAATACATTAGCTATATGCATAGGCTGTAGTGGCACAGGACAAATTCGTTGCTTCATATCCTTAACAATCACGTGGTAAGCCTATTTTTTTTTCTTCAAAATCATAATTTTTTTTTTAAATTTTAATAAGTTACCCCTCAAATTAGCATTAAAAAAGGAATTTTTTACAGACGTAAAACTTTACCATTCATATGAAATATATATTTTTAAATACAAACCTCTAAAAAGTTGTAGCATAACATAAGTTGTAGCATGTGTAACATAAGTATGAAAAAAATCGTTTAATTGGGCACTTGCACTTCAAGAAGAAGACCTCCTATACCCACACATTACGTCTGAGCCATATAATCTTTATCAGCAAAATGGCGTATTAAAGTTGAGCTAAGTTTCTCTACATAAGTTAGAATATTAATTAAAGATAAGTTAATTAAATACAGAACCATATCACACATCGAATTGGTTGAAATATAATTCTTTCTTGTCTACTTCTTTTACTCAACTTACATTTATTGTTTGTTGATGTATTTTATTGTAACCGTGATATAATTTTGTTTCGTGTACTTGGCAACTTCGATGCATAATTAGTTTCTTTATGTTCCACGTGGCTTCGTGGCCACGTGGTTTGTGTTAAGCCTCTATATAAATATGTTGTGAAAGAATTGAAATCTTTGAGAAAGATTATTCTTCGTGAAAGAATTTAGAATGTGTCACTTAAGAGAATCGATACTTGACGCGCTTGACTTACTCGAAATAGAATGGAAAGACGGTTGCTAACGTAAAAAAATGCCACGCTTCAACAAATAATTAGGACCGAGGAGATATATAGAGATATCGCTATATAGAGAATAGTTAGAATGTTCTTCGAAATTCCTATGAAAAATTTCGTTATAGGAAGAAATTAACTGTGAAGCAACTTCCTTGTAAGGGAGACTCAACTTATTTAATAATACATAATTATTATGTAATTATTATATGTAATTATTATATATAATTATTATATGTAATTATTATATGTAATTACTATATGTAACAATACATAATAATAAGCAGATTATGTATTATTACAATCACTATATCCAACAATACTCAAATATGCTAAAAAATATTTTTTTCAAAGACTACAGGTCTATTGAACTATTATTTATTACAAATTTATTGCTAGATATACAGACATGGTTCACTACAGTGAGGTGCGACTGGAAAATAACTGTATCCTATTTTAGATTTCAACATTTTTGATGTTTTATAGATAAATTATATATATAAATTACATATATAACTACATATGTTATAATATATATTACAAAATATATATTATAAATATATGTAATGTATATTTTGATGTTATATATATAAATATATAAATTATATATATAAAATTTTTGATGTTATATAATATGTTATTTTAATTTAAATTGGTAGTAAGGAGATATCCCGCACCTATTTACAGCAATTTTCCAATTTGAAAAACATTTAAAATTACATGCTGTGGTTTACCCGGAGGTGGACACAAATTATATTTTTCGAATTAATCCTCTCCTGAGAGGATATTTTTTTACTTTCTTGCTTGCCAATGCCCGGTTGTCTCTCGAGCTTGGTCATTTTTTTCGAGTATGTATCAACAAGGAAATCATTGGTAGCTAAAACGGGAAAATATCACTACCTCTAATCACAAACATATAATAATTTTTCCCCACTATAATTAACAACAGCACTATAACTATAGCCACTATAGCTATACTATAACCATAGCTAAAAAAACAGCATTATTAATTTTGGTAACATTATGTATCATGCTTTAGGTCTAGCCATATAGACACAGATATCTTGGAGCCTCCAGACACTATAGCGATCTCAGAAAAATTGGAATATGCAAATGGACATTTGATCTTCCAAGACGAAAAACCATTGGTAATTTTGTATGAATTTTGCATTAAATATTTAGATGGACAACTTTTGAAATAATAGCGTAAAAAACAGAATTCGGCTATTTTGAATTTCATTTTAATTTGTAAACGTCGTTGAACAGCCGACCCAATTTTGTGGGTTTACGAACTATTAACGTTCAACTCAATAGACTTGTAATTTTTAATCCAATCCAGAAGATAAGGAAGCCCCTGGATCAATTATTGGGAGAAATTTTCTTTCATAGAGGATTTACTAATCCGCATTTGCGTTACATGGAGAGGAAAACCACGAAAATCTGGATTTGTTAGCCTGACGACAAAGTGACTCTATCCCAGGATCCGTCTACCACTGAGGATATTTTCACGTCAGCACTGTGATCGGTGCAAACCGTATGCGGAATTCGTATTGAACAGTCATAGCTGGGACTCGAACAGGGTTCACCTCATTGGAAGGCGAACGCTCTATTTCCTGAGCCATCACGGCTCTCCCGTAATAATTATGTTTAGTGTTTAGTTAAATAGTGAAACGAAAATTCGCAATTCCCCGTTAAGTTGCTCAATCTGGGTTAAAAACTGTAAAGGCGCATTCTTTACAGTGTCCATTTTCAGAAACACGCATTTTGAGCTGTGTCCATTTTCGTAGACGCCTATTTCGAGATGTGTCCATTTTCGTAAACATGCATAAAAAAAACGAAAGGAACAATGTAAATATATGCATTGTAAGCATTTTTAATACTCTCCGGGCAATTAAGGCCGGGTTTGGGCTCATGTCCAAGAGCTCGTGGGTTCAATCCCCGCCGGCCGAAGACTCGCCGTGTATTAAATGGTGACTGATGCATGGTAAATCTGTAGAGTCGCAAAGTCCTCCATGTTACCATAATAAATCAATACCTCTGGGGGTACTGATCCGGGAGTATCCTTGTCCTCTGTATTGGTTCAAAATTACAAGGCTACGGAGTTGAACATTAGCAGTCGTAAACCCAAAAATTGAGTCGGCTGTTGAACGACGGATATATATCAAGGCAATTAGAATCTTAAAAAGTTTAAGTGATAGTAATAACTTTTTAAAAAGATTCTTTATTGCAGAGCTATAATTGTATATTTTATAATTTCTTATTTTTTGTATTTTTTAGAAATAAAGCATAAAATAAAGTTACTGGTCAACAAGAAAGTTTTTCCCAGCCTAAATCGTAAAATTTTAAATAACAATGACAAGTAATCAATGCACTGCTTATAATTAATAAATATGATTAACTATTTTTAGTCATTGCTTACTTTTTAGAGATTTTCATCAAAGATTTTTTATTTCATTTTTATTATTGTTATTTGTTATTATTATGATTCAAATGACATCGTGATATCAAAATTATAATTTACTATTTATAATTGAATAAATGAGATTATCTTTTTAATTATTTTAAGTTTCCCCCCCCCCCCAATAGAATCTTTCTAAAAAGAAGGCATTATTTGCACCCATATTTATTATACTCTATTTCTTCAAACGCTGCATGCAAACTGATGTGGTGACATATTTTCCTATATTCTCATAATATACTAAGTTTAACTATAACAAAATTGTTAATTTGAGTACATTAAAAGGATGATATTGCTATTCCTTTTAGATTCCAACTATAGTTTTTCCTGTTAGTAAATTGCAGGATATTGCCATCTCTCTTCTTGAGAAACACAGAGAATTATCCTCAACAGATAGAATATTAATGCAAGTAAGTTATTATTTTACAAAACAAAATGTTCTTTCGCGTCTACCACATTTGGAACAATTAAATTTTATATGGTCTTTAATACATTACAAGACGCGTTTTTACTATAGAATCGGTTATGGAATGTCTCTAAAAGAACTAAGAATTCGAAAAATAAATTTAAAAACGGAAAAAAGAAATGCGTAGTACCCTTCTGCTGCTTAGGAAGCCAGTTGTGATATTCTCAGTATGTTTTAAAATTAGAAACAAACTTCGGCAACAGATGGTGCTACTGACTGAGAAAAACAATAAAACACATTCGAAGAACTAACACCGATGCAAATATTTCAGTTGGCAGGTTTGAAATGCAGGAGAAAACAGTCTATAAATTACCAGTCAGCAGTACCATTTGTTGACAAACTTCCAAACATATTCAGCCTTCCTTATTTATTATTTTTTTTAAATCGTCGGTCATATTTGGAACTCCTAAATAAAATATCATATCTTATTTAATATCATAATCTTTTTAATTAAAATGTTATTATTTTTTTTTATGAACTTCGCCAGTGTCGTATATACAGAGGGTTTAACAAGGGTGGCAGTTCTTACGAATTGGTACACTTTTTAGATTGTCTCGTGTCATATGACACACATACTTCTTTCTTGATACTAAATTCAATTACATATTCACACTAAAAATAAAAAAATTAAAAAAAATATTTTTCACTAAACAGAGGGAAAAAAAAGCAACACAGCATTCTTTCTAAAATAATATGCATCTGAAAAATGCTGTAACATAACAATACGTTACATTACTCAAAGCTTAAAAGTCAGAATTATCTTAATTTTAACGAAGTGGATATTTTCTTATTTTACCTGCAATAAAAGTTTAAAAAATTCCTCTATTTTAACATTTGTATATTTTTACATTTTAAACATTAACACATTAAGGACAGGCTAAAGAATGTAAAATTTTGCAAATGTGCAGTGAGCTAAAAAAGGACAACCCTGAATAACCTTTGATCTAATGATCGCATCTTTACGTTGTAGGACTCAATCTTTATTGTTCGAGGGTGTAACCTCAAATATACTAATTAGTTAGTGCAGACGATATTTTAAGTTACGAAATTCGACGCAAAAACGTACTTTCTCTGAATCTGGTCTTTGGGTAGACCACAATCTGGGAAATATGATCCCCATAGTTTGGTCAGGAAAACGATCCAAAGTTTGGAACCCTTAATGGTAAGGTTTCTGTTTGCGCATTTCACCATATCTAGAAAAGCGAACTGAATATGAAGATATTTTGAGAGTAAGAATTTTGAATCCGTCCAAAAAAAGCTATGTTTATTCAGAGAAAGTACATTTTTGTGTCTGATTTCGAAACTTAAAATATTATATGCGCTAATTAATTAGCATATTTAGCCTCTCGAACCATTAAAATAGAGTCATAATGTAAAGATCCGATCATTAAATAAAAAGTTATTCAGAGTAGTGTGGGTTTTTTTTCGGCCTACTGTACACCATTATGTGCATAAAATTATCGTTTGACAAGGATAAATATCTTTTTAAAGGTTAAACCAACAATTCCATGTTGCACCTTCTTATAGGAATGAATAAAAAGTGTTCCCTCTTCAAACGAATTCTTCTGGCGCGGCACTTTAGTGGCCTTACTTATTCCATTCGTAACGCTTAATCATAATAGTGGGAACTATTTATACGTGAGATATTCTGAGGTAGAGTAAAAAAACATGAGCAGTCAGCAAAGTGTCAAATTAAAGAGATTTTGCAACCCCACCCCGTCTGGTCAACATCTTTCGTTTTCCCAAACTGGATCCATATAGTGCAAACGTGAAGTATTTACTGGATAGAAGTTGCGCAATGGTGATTTTCTTGAGTAAGAATTTCTTAGTAAGAAATTAAACAAGCGGGGTTGTTTTTCTTGTAGCTCATTTACGTCGCACTAGTAGAGCTACACAATGGGCTATTGGCGACGGTCTCGGAAACATCCTTGTGGATGATCTGAAGACATACCATCACAAGTTTGATCCTCTTCAGAGGGGGTGCCCCCCCCCGGCTTCAGTAGCTCGACGACCTGCATGCGAAGTCGAGCACTTTACGGTAGAACAGTTTAACGAGGACCAATACCACACACCCTCGGTCCATACACAGACTAATCCAAGTGGTCACCCACACGCACAATGACAGCAGCCAGTGATGCTTGACTTAGGTGATGTGTTGGGAACCGTGTCTTAACGATCAGTCCACTGCGGGACTTAAACAAGCGGGGAGAGACGCAAAATCTCTCGAATATAGTAGAGTGAGCATAACTGCGAATATAAGTGCTAATATCAAAACAACCTTGCTCTCTTTCTTAACCTTTTATAACATAAAAGTTACATTTGAAATTAAATTAGTTTTATGAATACGCCATCTTTTAAATTTTTTTTCTTCCTTGTAGCGACACGGAGTGTGGGTCATACCAGTATATTATGTGCAATATGAATGGAAGGAGAAACAAAGAAGATATTATGTATTTGGAGTAAAAAACGATGTATATGCGCCACATTACCCTGAGTCATACTGCTGCTGTGTCATTTCATAAGATATGGGAATGAAGAAAAAAGTGAACAGAAATAATACCATTTTGAAGAAGGAAAGAGTCAAGAAATTTTATATTGCTTCATCGTCCAGTTAGGGTTTTAACTAAAAAAATGCAAATGATATGCAAGGCACTTTTACGTGTGCATTAATGATGTCACATGCAAAAGTCACTCAATTTATTGTGCCAATATTTTACTCATAGTGATTTTTTTTTCTTTGTAGTTTCCAGGCATTTTTTAAAATTCATTTTCTCAAACTCACTAAGACATCACTTGCTTTGTTCTTTCGTTAAGTTTTGTTGTGTTATGTGCAACAGATGCAAAAACAAATTCCTCTAACCTTATTTTGTGTGTTTTTTATATTTTATTCAATTGCACCATACTATTAGTGGATCAAAATTTGGTAAAATGCAAAAATAAAAGTAGTTTAACTGTCAAATAAAATCAGTAAATGTAAGTAGTTTGTTGTTGGCAACTAAACTGTTCAAACTGTATAAAGTATTAAATATTTGAACATATTATTGTTATCCTTTTCTTTTATCATTAAAATATTTTCATATTATCATAGCCTGATAGCCATACTATTAGAACCAGATAATGAATTTCCTAAAGCTTTTAAAAATTCTCTTACAATAAAAGGTAAAATAGACTTTTAGAAAATAATTTAGATGTTTGTCCATTTTCTTTTTCGGCTGATTGTTTTTAACAGTATAGCTGCAAAAATGTTTTATAGAAATCAATGTGACCATAATTTATTGAAAAGATTATCAACTTGTGTTAAACGTGTTTCTAAGGAAACAAACAATTTATTTTTCTGTTTAATATAAATATACATAAATATAAAATATCGCCACAACAACAATATCTCGAGCAAATGTAGTATTGCAAATTACACTAACTTAGAATAATCGGACAGGAATAACAAAATTATGTGTATACTTATTATTTTTAACTTTCTTTTTAAAAGTACAAAAATTGCTCTTGGTTGGTTGGTGTCGTATCCTCTATAGAATCATATTTCATGGTGTGCTTGAATAGTTTTTGTTATTTCTATGGCATTAAAAGAATACAAATCCTCTTCTGTGGGGTNCTTATTATTTTTAGCTTTCTTTTTAAAAGTAGGATGGGTGGTCTAATGTAAACAATAACAAACGTCCTTAAACCGGAAGAAATTTAGAAATATGAAAATTAGAAAATTTAGATCTCCGCTTATGTTATGACTACGAGGCGATGTGTGAACAAGCCTAATATTCTATGCAGTTTTGTTATTGTAATTTGGGTTCAAATCTAAACATATTGTACCATTCATAAGAGCTTTCAGAAATGTATTAATTCTCAGAGGTCGTAAGGCCAAAAAAAATTTTGGAAAGTTAATATCTCATTGTGAATAATTCTTAAAGTTTGCCATGTTTTGTATTTTATCCCTTATTTGGCTACATTTGAAAAAAATGTCGCCAAAAATATCTTTTTAAGATAGCCTAATTAGAAAATATTCTAATGATTATAATATTAATATGAAAATGCTGAAGTTTAAAGGCTGAAAGAAAATACTCGGTACATGTGAAATACTGCAAAAGATATGATGCAATAATATGATGGCGCGTTTCTTCAATCTGTAGCGTAAAAATATATCGGAAGCAGTAACCCGGAAGTCTTGAAAGAGCAATTTTACCACTAGCGCCACCACCCTTAGCTTTACACGATCACAAATCCATATTCAGTTACTTGAAACTTTTTACGTTACGTTCAGATTTTTTCCATTAATTGCTAAATATGACTCACCACAAAATTATGAACAAATAATTTTACATTTTTTCCCTATATGCGCAGTATTTTAAATACTCTTATCTTGCAAATTTTCCCAAATAAATTTTCAAATTTTAAAACAAAAATTCAGTAATTAATTTTAAATGACTCTAAAAATTTTGTTTTATTTTACTGAATATTTTTAAAATTATAACAAAAAAAATACAGAAGAAATTTTTTTTGTTTATAAAAACATTCATATTTCCATAAGTATTTAAGCTAGATTTACGACATTTTATGCAGTTATTGCAAGTACATTTTATGCAGTATTGCATTTTGCAGTATTGCTATACAGGTTACAAGTCTATTGCTTGATTTTCTAGCATAGGGTGTTCAAAAATACTTGTTTTCTTTTATAATTTATTGGCGGTGCCCCATACCTCTGAAAGCTATAAATATTATTGCAAAGTATGAAAAAGCGCATGAACTAAGTACTTCTAAAGTTACAAAATAGTCCTTTAAGTATTTCTGAAGAAACTCAAAATAATATTAAAAAAATTCTAATCAAAAAAGAAGCTCACAGAATGAAAGTGCAAAACAATACGTATTTTATGCAGTAATATAAATTTGAATTAAGCATTTTAATAAAAGAAAATTTATGATACTTTAACAAAAACCAAATAAGAAGAAACTTTTTATAGCGATCAGAAGTTCCCTTAGTGGCTTGCAGGCCATACAACCCTTATTTTAAAGGATCCCAATTTAAAAGAAAATTATAATTTTTGCTAAGAACATTAGGGTTGAATAAAATAAAATAAAAAAATTTCCTTTTTTTACTAACTTGCAAATACAAAGTTATCAAAATGGCTGAAGTATGTAGGTTAAAAATCATAATTTTTTTTTAAAAAAAATTAGCAAATTATTGAAAACAAACTTTTACGAAAAAGTTTGTGTTATTCAGTAGGGGATGTATAGACAATTGTGAATTTATCAGAATGATTAAAAACAAATATCATTTGTACACAGTCTAAAAGATAGAATTCTGAAATATTTCCAAATTAATTAATAAAAAACAGTGTTTCATTAGAAACATCTAAAAGGATACATGGCAATGTATGGTCTCGTTTTTTTTTCATAACTGGACAAAATAAGTTAGAACTTGTTTAGAATGTTCCATTTGATGCTTGTCCACATTAAGCTTCAAGTCTACTGCTTTTAGATAATTTACTAGTTGATCATGGGAAAAATTTTAATTCTTTAATTAAGATAAAAACTGAAATATAAAAATTTCTTGCCAAAAAACCAGAGAGAATATGGAAGGACTGAATATTTCAAGTTATCCAAAAGATGATTACCAAATAAAATGATACTTATATAATTTGCAAGGTTGCACCTCAAATCTAGAAGAAAAAAAATTTCCCTGTGTTTTCCCTGTACATATTATACGCAAGATATTAAGAGAATACCTGCCAACATTGGAGAAATAAAATAGCGGAGATCTTACTAGCAACATTTTATAGGCTACAGGTGAAGTTATGATACATAAACATTTAAGTCAAAACGGGAAACTCAAATTTGGAAATAATTTAAACACATAAATTAAGAATTTATATATAAATCTTAATCTAAAGAATATTTTTTAAATCATTATTTATATTTACTAAAACTGTAAACACTCAACATACTGCAGCACCATCTGTTGAATAAAAATAGAAATATATTTGCCATCAGCGGATATTTAATCCCAAACTTTTTTTTCAAATTTTTTTAACAAATACAGAGAAATTTGAGAATATACTGGTAACAAAAGACAATCGTAAAACACAGTCGCTAAACATACTTAAAACAAATCACGCTATTGTAAATTAGCCAGTTTAATACAGCTGAAATAACATCCTTAAATATCCCATTGCACTTTGAGTGGTCACTATTTTTTAAAAGACGAAAATAAGAAACAAAATTCCCTGTATTTTCCCAGTTTCTAAAAAAAAACTCAAAATTCCCAGCTATTTTAGGTGATTTTTAAATTCCTTGTATATTCTAGGTTTCTCCTGTTCTCCCTGTGGAATAAACAACTGTGTTTTAATTTCACTTCAAAATTAACACAAGCTTTCTGGACCAGCCGATATACTTAATGTATAACAATGAAAGTATTTCTTTGGAGCATTGAAGTTTAAAAAAAAGAGGTTTTTCTTAAGTAATAATAGGGAGAAACAAAAATTCTATGTTGGTCAAAAAATAAACAAATTATATTTATTTATTAGTAATATTTATAAAAAAAAAAAGCACATCATTCAGACATTTAGAATAAAGTTGTGGAAAGTTCACCTAGATTTGCAAGATTTCAAAATATTATACAAAATGTTGAGAGAAAAAAACAATAAGAATGCAAGTACCAGTTCTAGTTGTTCTTAAACATAAAAATGAATTTTTAAAAAAATACACAGACTTGTAAATTTAAGTTGCAAATATATATACTTCACAGATATTTAAAAAAATCCTTATTATGATTTCTAAAAAGGAATTTTTTTAAGCGTAAAACTTAATCAGGGGTGATCGTGTCACAGAGTGAAAAACCCTGAAATCTTTTAAGAGCAAAAAACCATACATATCTCATTTCATTACATATCAAAATCATACATTTTTATATTTAACAAAAAAAATTTTTTAATAAGATTTATAATTAAATTACTTACTAATGATGAATATCACATTTTTATAGTAACTAATATTAGTTCTTACAGGAAATGCAATGTTGTATTTTCAAAATCACGTGAATATGAATTGTGAAATTGGATTTTAAAATCGTGTGACTGTATTAAATTAAAATCGCCTGCATACACATCGTGATGAATGATTTTTAAACCAAATAAATACGAATTGCAATGTGTAACGTTTAAATTAGGTAAATACAAAAATCGATGATTGATATTCAAACCGTGTGAATATGAATCGTGATATTAGTGGATTCCGGCACAGCTTCAAATATTCAAAATGGCGAAAATCTGCCAAACCAAAAGAATCAATTGGCGAATTTCTGCCCATTGGAAGAAGAATCACATGTATGTAAGTGTCTTAGCGAAAGTTTCAAAATTTGGATTTTAGATTGAGGAATTCTGTGATTATATCATCAGATTATAAATATTTCACCAGCTAAAGTGTAAGTACCAAGGGTCTTGAGAAAAGCGAAATTCCGCAATATTCCCATAAAATATCATATGCCCTGCTTTTAATTTTTTCACCCGGAAGGATAATACAAGAAACCCATAATTCCGGGTTATCCCCGGAGTACAATCACACCTGTGTTATTCTCTTTATACTCCTACTGATTTATTTTTAGCATTAATGCCCTCATACAATGGAAATCTCATCACTTTCCATTGACATGTAAGAAAGCTATAGGTACATTAGAAAAACAAAAAAAGCAATAGGTAAAATTCATAATAGTATAAAGTAAAAAATACAACAATTTAAAAAAATTATTATAAAACAATAACATGTAGCTACATGATGCATTGACTAAATCAAAACACAACATATAAAAATGGAAATGATGTAGTAAGCAAAAACATGATAGTTCCTGTATCATGAGTAACAACATCGTTAATGCCTGTTCTGCATCTTGACACTGATTCTCATAGTACTAAAACAATCCTTTGTTTAACTAACTTTAGATTTATTTAAGTAGTGTTTTGCTTAATTGTAATTATATTTATCTTACAAAAAATAGAGCATAAATTTGATTGTTAAACAAAGATAATGTTAACTTTTTAATAACAGAATAAAAAGTGAAATAAAATCACATTGTCAATCAATGAAAAGGAGTATTTTGATTCATTCTCCATTGTTTCCGGTTAAAATTCAAAAGGCTTTAATCATTGTATGAATTCATCTTCTATTGAAGAAGCCATGATTTCTACACAAAAGTAAATGGTTTTCTAGTGAAAAATCATTATATTCAAAATACCAAGTCCACAGCTTTTCAAACAGTAATAAATAAATCTAACATTCATATAACTATACAATTCATTTACGAGGCAGCAGGTGTTAATTCGTTCATTATTGCATAAGCTTGTTTTAGTTCATGCAAAAGTAAATTGAATTTTTCAGGTGAAACATCAAATGTGCACAATTTGTTTTCGTTATTTTTATATTCATTGACTTTCATCATCATTCGAACGGAAGGAGAATTAACTTCATTTAAAACACTTGATGACATCACATAATCAACCTGCCAATTAATATCAGAAATCGATGTCAATTTAAATGATTCTTTCTTCAATTTTTCCTGCAGCTGGGCAAATTTATCGGAAAATACCTTACAAAGCGCAGCAGCGGATTCTTTGGGCAATCCAAGCTGCTGAAGCTCATTAGAAAGTGACTCTTCATCGACACCATGTTTGGCAGAACTAGTAAAGATAAAATGCAGAGCAGATATTGTAGCTTTTATATCGGAATTTTCATATTTAGCATCCGATGTTAATTTTCGCACTTTGTCAAAGTCAATAGGACTTCCAAGTATTCCACTAATAACTTGAGAGCATAAAAGCTTCATTTTGACAGATGTAATCTTCGATAAAGTAGCAATTTCTGCAAGAACCCAATCTGGGCAATCAAGTTCTCCACAAAATCGAAATTTCATGCCTAAAATTTAAGCAAGACGATAACAGTTGTTTTGGAAGCAATTATCGTACAACAAAGTTTGAATAAAAATACTAATTTATTCTATTTGTATACAAAGCTAATTGTCAAACGACAACTCCTACTTTTTTGTTGTTTATTTTGACGTCTCCGGTTGCTTATCTTTGTCTCTCAAAGGGTGGTATAGCATCTCCTTCTTCAGGGGCATTCTCACTGCATGCATATAAACAATTCAAGGATTGTTTACAAGACAAGAGTTCACTGCCAAAACGCTCTTGCGAGTGTTAAAAAACTACAGGTAAGATGAACAGTCTTCGCAAGCACAAATCGAATCCACATGTGATCGCATATGTGATTAACATGCGGTGAGAATACGTCATATGATTTCCATGATGTATTGCTAGCTCATTCATAAATCGCATTCCCATGCTATCGCACATACGAATCACATAAAGTGAGAATGCTCCCTGAATAGCTATTCTAACTCTATGCGGTTCACGCGCTCGATCATCGTCTAGAGATGATGAACGTCTAATTGGGGAATTGTATTTTCTCGCGAAAATCTTACCTCTCTCTACAGTTATCGGAGGTACAGGAAGGTTTCGCGGGTCACCAATTTTACCACTCATCAATATTTCGCCTTCGTGCTTGCATCTCTAAGTATGCATCTGAGGAAATTTTTCACGCAGTGACAACTATACAAATTCTCTGACTTTAATTGTGAATAACAAGTAAGAAATTGGTAAGTAAATTATCTTATTCGCGAAAACTTCCTTTTCAAATTCTTATTCGTCTCTTTACGCATGTGTAGCACTTCATGTTATGGCCCATTGCATTCTGCTCCATCGTGCTCTGGTTCAGGTTAAAATTAGGATTTGTGGATTGATAGCTTTTGTTTAAATGTGGAGCATATATGTTGTCGCCGGAATATCCTCAGGGATGTTTCCCAAATCATGGCCAATTAGCCCATAGTGCAGCTCTAGAGCGACGTTAATAAAAGTACCGTGTTATAATATGTTGAGCGATAACAGGTATGGGGCCACTTTTCCTGAATACGGTTCGTGTACTTCCAATCACTGTCCAGAAAAAGGGAGAACACGATTGTCCAGTTTTCAGCAGTAAAATATTTTCCACCTATCAGCTTTCCAGTCTTCCTTAACGGTGATGAGGAGAGCGTGAAAAGCATGCAGTAATAATGGTCCATAAGATAAAATGTTTGCGCTTACTCGAACCATTGCGATTGCCGTAAAGAAAAATGAAGGACCTGATTGGAGAGTTTTTCGCGGGAAAATATATTTCTCCAATCAGATTCTCAACGTCTTCAACAGCGATCGGGAATGCGTGAACCAAAAATAAGTGAAATGGTCCTTGAGAATCATCCATTACATGTATTTTCTGTTGTTGTTCATTTACATCGCACGAGAGCTACACAATGAGCTATTAGCGACGGTCTGGGAAACATCCCTGAGTATGATCCGAAGACATGCCATCACAATTTTAATCCTCTGCAGAGGGCATGGCACCCCCGCTTCGATCTATTTTGTGAACATTTGCAAGTGCATCTAGATTGTGGAGGAACAGGATTCTGCTCTTTACTTTACAGAATGTTGAAAAAATCCACGAAGGGCCGGATTAAGCGTACGTGGGGCCCTAGGACATTAAATTTTTGGGTTGGAATAAAAAAAATAAGTTTCCTACTAAAAAGCTCAATTAATGGAGAAAAAGTACTTATTCATCTAAGAAAACCATAAAAATTAGACTTATTATTATTGATGCCACTGTTGCTTAGTTAATTTTAGTAATTGATACTACTACTATTATGTTAATTGGTGATGCTAAATATACTACGATTAGTATCGAGATACCTCTGAGGAAATAGGGATTTTTCAGCCCACCAAAAGGGATATGTAAAGGAAACTGTTTTATAACTGTTTTTATTTTGAAGGTATGAACTTCTAAAAACGCGTTTTGCTTAATTTGAAAATATAGAGTTATCGGGAAGGGAAACAAATAATAAAAATAAATGAATTGTTTCAGCTTAATTAATTGGGTCGGTATATATATATTTCAGTTTTAAGCATGATTTCGTTATGCATGATTTAATGATTTATTTTTTCGCCTAGTACAGTACAGAGCCCGTTATCCGGAAATCAGAAAACCGGAAAACCAAAAAACCGGAACGATATTCGATAAATTTTCCTGCCATTTTCAAAAAAAAATTTTTTTTCCTCATAAGATTTTAGGATTTTTTTTTATATTTTGAAAGATGGTTAGCTTACCATCGTTTAGGAAGGAATCATTAGTGTATTACTTCATCGTTTTTTCTTCTTTTTCAGATTATTTCCAATTTTTTTTTTTTTTTAATTGGGTTTAACAATAAAAAAACGGCTTTTTGTAGCGATTCAGAAAACCGGAAAAATCAGTTATCCGGAATAGCGATGGTCCCGATCGTTCCGGATAATCGGTTCCCTACTGTACTAAGAACGGGTATTTAGCTAGTGATATAATTATTCATAAAATCAGTGAATAAACATTTTAATAAATGAGCACAAACCAGTTTGAATTCAATAATAATAAAATATTAGAAACCTATCATATTTGGTACTGATTTCAACGGTAACTTTTTTCTTCCATCTATAAAGTCAAAAGAGCTTGAAAGGTTTTTTAGATTATTATGTTACCACAAAATAAGAGTAGAAATGGGATAGCACATATTATGGAAGACCAGAAAGCAACTTTTTGAGTATATTTCGAATACCAGAATCCGAAATACAGCAGTCATTTACAAATTCGTTTTTATCATACTTATAATCTAATGGATGCATCCATCAACAATCTGGACAGAGTTTTTTTTTTTTAAAATTTGTAGAATATCAAGTTCTTTGAATTTGAAAAGGAAAAGAAACTTCTTGCCAGAAATAAAACCAATTTCTAATATTTAACTCGACAATTAACGCAGAACTTGTTTACTAAACATTCTTTTGAATATTATAATTTAGGATTATTGAATATAAGAGAATAAAACAGGTGTTTAAAGTTAGATTCTAAAACATTTACATTTTAACATCACACAAGAACAATAATCATACACTATTTTTGGAAAAAAGAAACGAAGTTTAGCTGTTATTATTTATTTAGGCTTTACAAAATGAAATCATTATTTTGAAACAAATTATTTAATAAATCTGAATTTAAAAAGTAGAAGTACTTCAACAAACATTATTACAAATACTCTTAACATGAATTATTATTTAAAATTTCTGTATGGCAATTAATTAGGAGATCATTTTTCAATAGTTAAAAACTGTTACATTATTACATAATAATCAAAAGCAATATGTGGCTATTGAAGTTATTAATCAACAAATAAATTAAATTATTACATTAAAATCGCTATCATCGAAAAAAAAGTAATTTAAATATTCTAAAAAAAAATTACCTTACTTAAACATTAACTGCTATTAAAGTAAGATTTAATTAAGGAAAGAAAAAAAAACGCTTCAAAAAAATTAAACATCATTTATAAAAACAGAAAAGTACTGGAATATAAAAAGATGACAAAAATATTGAAATACTTTTTATTCACATGCATTATCATATTCAACATAAAGAAATGAAAATTATATGAAAAGAATATTTTAAATTTCTGTTAGAACTACTATTAATTAAGGAAAGAAAAAAAAACGCCTCAAAAAAATTAATCATTTATAAAAACAGAAAAGTACTGGAATATAAAAAGATGACAAAAATATTGAAATACTTTTTATTCACATGCATTATCATATTCACATAAAGAAATGAAAATTATAAGAAAAAAATATTTTAAATTTCTGTCAGAACTACTATTAATTAAGGAAAGAAAAAAAAAACGCTTCAAAAAAATTAAACATCATTTATAAAAACAGAAAAGTACTGGAATATAAAAAGATGACAAAAATATTGAAATACTTTTTATTCACATGCATTATCATATTCAACATAAAGAAATGAAAATTATAAGAAAAAAATATTTTAAATTTCTGTTAGAACTACTATTAATTAAGGAAAGAAAAAAAAATGCTTCAAAAAAATTAAACATCATTTATAAAAACAGAAAAGTACTGGAATATAAAAAGATGACAAAAATATTGAAATACTTTCTATTCACATGCATTATCATATTCAACATAAAGAAATGAAAATTATAAGAAAAAAAAAATTTAAATTTCTGTTAGAACTACTATTAATTAAGGAAAGGAGAAAAAAAGCTCAGAAATTATACAGCAAATAAGAAAGGAATATAAAGAAAAGAATATATATAGCAAGGAATATATATATGGAAGAATACATATAAGGGAAATAAGGAAGAAATATATCAAAATGATATTAAATTTGAAATCTTACTGCTTTTAACTTCATTGAGACTATGTATCATTTTGAGAACTTCCCACACCTTACAACAATTTGAAAAAGTATTTTAGTAAACAAATATTTCTAAGATTTGAATAAAACTTATAAAAAATAAGGTTGAAAAACTAAAGTAAATAAAGAATAAAAATGCTTCTTTCAATAAACAACTTAAAACTGTTTTAAAGCAATAACTTGAACGAAAATAAAAAATTTTAAAAGTTATACAGCAAACCAATCAATGAAAAAATAAAAACACAAAAGAAGAGACATAATTTGTCTTATGTTCTTTAAGGGATACATTTCGTTCTGATAATTTTCAGAAACAAATAAAATCGAAATTTTAAGTAAACCTATCTTATAAAGAATTGAATGAAAGCTTTTATAAGTTATTAATTATAATCGATCATTAGAACACGAAAAATGAGCAAATAAATCATGAATGGTACTTAATAAAATATTAATAAAACTTAGGAAAATGATTGAAAAAAAAATCTTTAAAAAGTAGCACATGTTAAATGTTAATATCAAGAAAATAAAAAAAAATTCACCCATTCTTAAAAGTTAAATCCAATTTAGTCCTACTTAAGAACATACTTCTTCATCACATCATATCCGATATGTGGATTTACATTAATCATATCTTTCCACTCAACCTTAAGAATTAACTCTTTAATATGTTTTAAGGCAAATTTCGTTGCTTCTAATTTCAAAAAATCATCTCTGTACTCGTAAGCCATTTTAAGTATTTCACAAACAGTATCAATAGACAAAAATGTGGATGATATTTCACCACAATCTCGCATCAAAGTATGAACATCATATTTAAAGGCCATCGAATACAGCTCTTGGATAGTTGTCCAAGATTTGTCGTCAATTTCACCAGAATACAAATACTTAATGAAGCATCCAGTTGTTTCAGTAGAAAATCCACTGATGTCAATAACATTCGTTTTGGACTCGTGACACAACATTTGGAAAAATAAAGGCGAATGGGCAGCTAATATGGATTTGTGAGCAAAAAACATTTGATTGTCCACTATTATTTCCACATCATTCAATAAATTGCCGGATTGTTGGACAGTAGGAGTCTCAGCGGATGTTTGCACACATTCTTTTTCCGCCACACGTTTCTTTGCCCTTTTGGCACTCCTGCCAACATCTTCTACTACCTTCTGTATAGTTGGCTGACCACTTTGGTACAAACAATTGAAATCAGTAGCAAATTTTTGCAAGTTTTTCAACGAACGCATACTCTTGTAATAGTTTGCAGGTGAATTGAAATGATCATAAAGCATCAAACTGCAGTTCAAATTGAAATCGCTTGTGAACACATTAGGCCTACTTTTGCGAACACCATTATCATAATATGTGCTTTTAAAAATTTCATTTGCGACAGTTACTATGCCCATTTTTTCTACGCTGAGGCTGTCTTGCTTGTACTCTCTAAATAAACTATCATCGAATAAGTGATTTATGGTGAGTTTCATATTCATCTTCATATGTCGCGGAACATTAATTCCGCATGATTTTACAAAACATATTTTTAAATTGTGTACTGTTTCACCATCAATACGAAATTCTTTATACCAAATCTCAAAATGAAATGTAAGATCAGAACCGGAAATAGGTGAAAATGCAACAGTTTTAACACTCGGTGAGGTCAAATAACTTTTTTCGAACTTCCACGTCAAATTACAAGATTGGTATAGCCTATTCCGAAATTCGGTGGGAGCTATTTCCGTAGCCATGCTTTTCTAACAAAGAAATTAATATCTGTAATGAACCTTTAATGAAAATCAACATTCGCGGTCATCAGCTTTTAAGTAGAGAATAAAAATAATCGAATGAAAAAGACGAATTCAAGAAGCTGATTGGATTAGAATCGCTTGAAGGTCGAAGGGAATTTTCCCGAATCGGAGCGGTAGTATTTTATTAATATTCTGATTCTTCCTTTGCAACTCAATAAAAAAAATTTAAAAACGATGACTGGGGTTTTTTTGTTTTGTTTTATTTCTCTAAAATATAAATAAGCATGAATAAGGTCTAAAGTTCAATGGTGTAGACGTAGAGGGATGATTTATGAATTTTTCCAAATACGATGAAACAAAACTGATCTTTCTGAATCAATTACATAACAAAAATAAGCAATTAATGTTTTATACAAATAGAAAACTATGTAAAAACAAAATGGTCATTTCTCAAAAAGTAGAAACGGTAATATTAATTACAGCCAATTTTAAAAGCCTTTAAATTAATTAATAATAACAACAAATTAATTTACACACAAGAATCAATTTGAAAATATTTGCATTTTATCTGAAGATTGAGATTTTTCATTAAATAATTAAATCTAAAAATTTTTTTTAATTTTACAATTCAATTATTAAGAATTTTTTCTGTTTACTATATCTATCCATAAGAATTTTTTAAAATTTAAATAGTTCGAGTAGGTATTTTTTTCTTTATAGCTTACTGGATTTGTTAATTTTGAAGCCTTTTAACCAACAGCGATTGATAAAAGTTTATTATATAAAGGTTTTATTTTAAGCTTTTATAATGTATTATTTAAATGTATATATTTAAATAATAAATGTATAATTAAATGTATATATTTAAAAGCCATACTGCATAGCATAAATTTACATTATTTCAATGAGAAAAACGGATACGAATTTGAAACATTTTTTTTTTCCTTTATCAACTTTTCCTAGGAGCATATTTCCAAATGTTAAACAGTTATAACAATAAATTATAAAAAATAAAAATATAATTCCTTAAGTTCACTATTTTTATTTCCATTTACTTATGCAAATGCGTGCAAAAATTTCAAAAATCATTGGAAAAAAAAAACAAGCTTAATTTTCACAGCCACTATAATGAATAAGATGAAAAAAATAATAGTTTTTGATTTGAGGGAGTCCCATTACCACCATTCTTACTAGATATTTTTGGTATCCTTTTTAAAAATGAATTTTAAGAAACACAAATTTAGATCACATTAGATAATAAAGCAAGGAAAATACTTTTTCAAAATCGAGAAAAGAAAGACGAAGGTGAACAACGTCAAAACACATTTCATTGCCTGAAGTAACTAAGAATAGATAAGAAGCGACTAAACGAAAACATCTTCAAACTTGACAATCAAACTGGTTTTGATGTTTTTTCACGCCTTCTTGAAACGTAATTTATTAGATTCTAATTAATTTTCTGTTTTTTTCTTTTTTCAATTTCCAGCCACTAATGTGAATGCTTTTTAACTCCATTTTTAAAAAGGATCTAAGATATTTATAAGAAAAGAGGTTATAACGGAACACCTTGAATACCAGTTTTTACTAATATTTTATTTTTACAGGGTGCGTAGTCAAATCTTTCAACAAAAAATAAGCACCTTTTAAGTATTTTTTAAGCATTCAAAAATATTTTTAAGCACTATATTAACAAAATGCAAAATAATTTTCAAAGACTTTAGATGATCATGAGAAAATAACTATATTCTGACGAAGTACTCTTTTCTTGATTATATTAGTCGTTATAAAATGATCGAGAGATTTTTCGGTTTGATATCAGAGGGCGGAAAATGAAGTCTGAAAATGAGAATATCTTGCAAAATGCAGCAGAGTTGCACATGAGAAGGCAATAATCTCACCGAATCCAGCTCAGTAGACGCACGTACGGACTCGCAAGTATTTCATCCAACATGTAAAATGATTGGCGCTTTCATACTCTACGTACCGACGGTACGCTGAAATGAATATTGAAAACGTTGAATAGAACAATGTGAAAAGCAGGCTTTTGCATAATACGTGGCGAAAATCGACATGGTAACGAAAAAAGTCGGTAACGAAGTAGGTATTTTTAAAAAGTGTTTAATTTTTGAAAAGGGAAAATTAAACACTTTTTAAAAACACCCAATGAAAAAAGCACCTTTAAGAGCTTTTAAATAACGAAAATCGAAAATAAGCACTTTTAAAAACGCTACGCACCATGTATTACATCCAGACTCTGACACCAGAAGACAATCTCTCACTAATTCCATTTCAATCCAATGCCAAATCGAAATTTTAAAATTCAAATTCTTGTACAGTTATATTCTTAAAACTCAATTAACCCATCAATCAAACACTAACAAAATAATTGAATCACTAGCTTAGATACTGTTTAAAAACACTAATAGATCAAAGAAACACTGATGGGTACAATAAATAACTACTTGAATCACCAAATCATTGGTATAATAACTAAACAGCTAATCGAACTCATAATCATTGATTTTTTTTTAAACAACTCAATGAATCATGCGATCATTGAAAGAATCTCTATACGAATTAAAGAATCATGGTATTGATAAAAGAATCATTTAACGGATTAATGAATTATTAAAATACTGTATACATTACTAATTTCTCTCACCTTTAGTTATTTTGCGCACTAAACAGCAAGTAACTATGTCAACTATTTAATCAAAATGTGATTAGAATTTTTAAAACAGAAAAAATAATTGAAATAAAACACAATTACTTAGAATAAAAGTGTTGTTTGTGCAATAAAATTATTTAAAATAACAGAATAAGTACTATAATGTAATAAATGTGTTACTCAGAGTTGGTTGGTTCGAATCCACTTGCAACACGGGCAAGCCTGCTTGGTGAAACCGAGCAGATTTAAGGCAGAGAGTGTGTTTCTTGTTTTTCAGTGGCGCCATCTATGGCCAAGAATACGACTTCTGCCACATCTTACGTCACACCCGTTTATAGAGCGGACCCGTTCATACCACCATTCATTCATCCACAGATCGTAATTTTGACATGAATCAGAGAACGATCGATCTCCAACCCAGTACCCCCAGAGGTTTGATTTGTTGTGGGAACATTGAGGACTTTTGCGACTAGACAGATTTAACGTGCATCAATCACTTTACAACACGGGGAGTCTTCGGCCGGCGGGGTTCGAACCCACGAATTCTCGGACATGGGCCCAGCGCCCTACCGACCAGGCTATCCCAGCCTGTTACTCAGAGTAAATGTGTTATACAGAATTTCTAAAACATGACTACTAACTTTCAATGCTTTTTGGAAAAGGATTTCTTTTTGGTGGGTAACTAAGTGTATGCTTTAATGCAAGTTTTTTTTATAACCGTCGTTGAACAACCCACCCAATATTTGGGTTTACGACTGCTAATGCTCAAATACGTAACCTTGTAATTTTGAACCCAATCCAGAAGACAAGCGAACTCCTGGATTAAGTATTGGGAGCAATTTGCCGTCGTGGAGGACTTTTCGGTGGAACTTATCCGCATTTGCGTTACATGGAGAGGAAGACCACGAGAATGTTCCACGGTTAGCCTGGACCAAGGGGACTCTAACCCAAGATCCGTCTACCACTGAGGATCGATCAGTCATCGCTGGGATTTGAACCAGGTTTACCTTATTGGAAGGCGAATGCTCCATCCACTGAGCCATTGCGGCTCCGTGTTAGTTGATAAACAAATTTACATAAACCCTTTGCACTCAGATGTCCCCCAGGAGGCACCATCAACAGTTACCACTTTAAAATTAAGAAAATTTGTCGACGTGGATGTTTTTTTGATGGAAGTAACCCGCATTTGTGTTACATGGAGAGGAAAACTTCAAAAACCTCCCACGGTTATCCCGCAGGCAAAGGGAACTCTAACCCATGATCCGTCTACCACTGAGGATATTTCACGTCTGCATAGTGGTCAGTGTAAGCCGGACGCGGAATTCTTATGGACCAACCATTGCTGGGATTCGAACTTCACTGGAAGGTGAACGCTCGCTCTATCCCCTGAGGCATCATGGCTCTTAATGTAAGTTTGATTTGTTTAGATTGCTTTTTTATTTTCTACACCACTACATCTAAACAATTCATAAGTGCACGTAAAACGCCACTTTATTCCAACTCTCTGGAGGTAAGGTTTATAAAATGTTGTCAAAATAATTCGAAATTCAGAAAGTTTTAATTATTAACCGATTACCACTTGATAAAATATTTTGCAGAAAGCATAATAATCTGCAATCATGTATAATAATGCAATATTTTTTTTTTATTTGACAGAATTATTATGCAAAACATTAAAAATACAATACTTCATATTACATACAACATAAAAGTAAGCAAGCTGAAATTATTACACATAAACTGTATAGGGTTATGAGAGACTGAATATAATGATGTTATTGTCAGACACATTGAAAAAGGTGTATAATTTTGTAGTAACAAAACGAAGTTTGTCTGTAGTTTAGTTTTGTATGTCTTACTATATATAAAATTCTAATGATGGTGTCGCAGTTTTCCATAGTTGTCGGTGCATTTTTATTGGCCAGAAAATCGCGTGGTAGGATCCAGTTTTCCCTCATTCATTTCCATATTGCTTTGGTTGTCATCAGCACAAAATTAACAGCAGTCGTAAAGGTATTGCTTTTCGTTGAATGTTTTTGCTAAGTGAATAATTTTAACTTTAATAGAAAAATTGTTT